GTTATTTAAGTTCTGAATTGATGCCAAATGATGCTGAATTGAGGTCAATTTTAAGCTAATTTATGTTATTTAAGTTTCGAATTAATGCCGAATGATGCTAGATTAAGGTCAATTTTAGGCTGAATGGCCATGTCGATCAGCGTCTATCAGCATCTGAATTGTTGCCAAATTGAGGCCAGTTTTAGGCTGATTTATGATTGAATTTAAGTTTTGAATGGCCATGTCCAATTGGGATCAATCAGCGTCTATCAGCACCTGCTTATGCTAATCAGAAAATATGACAAATCGGCTGTAAATAGTATCAAAATCAGCCTAAAATCAGCTATCTGATTTTAGGCTGATTTAGACTATTTTGACTAGTGACACTAACTTGCTATTGAATTCGTCATTACAAGTTTGACTAACATATCTTAAGTTCTAAGACGTGATAAATTGCTGAGTTGATTCAAATATAACGGATACCTATAGGACTTAGAGAAAATCCTAAGGTCAGAAACTCTAACATATAGAATCAGCTGCTGTAGCCTTTTAATTTAGACATTAAGATAAACGAAAATGAACCCAGTGACAATATATATGTTTTAGATGATGTATTATAAAAGCCTTTATACTTTTATAAAATTTAATTAAAAATTTAAAAAAAATCAAAAACTGTAAAAGAATCATTACTCTTAATTTTACGAAGTATTATCATTATTTGCTGTAATAATATTTATAGCTAGAATAGGATTTGCTTTTAAAGTGAATGTAAGGTTTTGATCTTTTGGCAATCTTTTTTAGGCTAAAGTGTTTCTTCCTCTTCTTAATTGTGATGTTGCATCTATAAATATTATTGTTACCTTCATAACTTGTTCTTTGTGAATTAAGCTATGAGATGTTCAATGCTTGCTGATTATTGCTACTATTATAATTTATAAATACTAAAATGTCTTCTAAGTTAAGCATATGTTTTTTAGGTAAGACTTCTTCCTGCATTATTTTATCAACTATAATTGGTTCATAATTAATCAATCCCATGAATATTACAATCATAAATCTCATGTTTTGATTTATCGAAATTGTTTTATTAGAGAAGTATCTAAAATTCAAATGTTACCTAACTTTTCACTCAAAATTTGTGTGATTTCCTATTACTAAGATTTTCTTTTACATAAAAATCAAGGACTGATTTCTCATTAACATTTCTTATTACTTTTATTATGATATCTATAAATATGATATCTAAACCAATTGGTAATATAAGATCAAAATCTATGTTTTTTAGGATCTTAATGAAGACCTTTATGTTATTCATAAAGAGTAGCAAATTTAGGAATATAAGCATAATAAAAAGTTCAAATGATTATACTATATATATAGAATAGTATTCAGAGCAAATAACGAACTTTTTCTTTAAAAAAATCATATTGTCAGTTTTAAAATCATCAATTCAGATTTCAATAGTCTGATTTGATAGAATGAAGGCTTTGATTCTGAGATAGACAATCTTTGTTAGATCATTCGCATTCAACCTGAAAACTACTGTAATCTCTTTCACTATAAATTTTTAAGTTAATATTTAGTAGAATCATGCACAAAGTAAATCACAAAGAGTTTAGCTAGCATTATTATTTATTTTGTATAGTGTTTTTACCTGAAAGAAAAAAGAAGCTGATAGGATTTATAATTTATACTTTTTATTTACAGCAATTAGCTCAAGTGCTCAGCCTTAAAGAGATCGATCAGTATAATGAATTCTATCTTTTATCATAAATTTCATATTTTCTTATACAGTAAAGGAATAAGAATTAAATTTCTTCATTAAATCATATTTTTGCTTAATATAATACAAAATAATGTTTAACTAAAAGTCTTCAGTCTTAAACAAAAATTTTTTTAATGCAAATATTGTATAACTTATTTAATATTTATTACTTTATTATATTAGGTAATTAGATCATAAAGACAATTAAATTCTAAGATGGTAAACTTCATTTTACATATTTAGAAAGATTAAAGAGGTAAATCAATTTATTAATTTCATCATATTAATAATAAACCCCAACATGGCAATACATAAGCCATTTTTTTTTACTCACAAAAAAAAAGTGTATATATATACTATGTAATTGTAAGAAGGATGGGTAGGCATTTTACTCTATAATCTGTAATCTAAGTAGCATTCAAGTCAGAATTGAAATTATGTCTCCATGCTGATCTCTAATATTTTTAGTGATTGATATTTATAGGTAATAATAATTTAATATTTATAGATAATTATAAAAATCCAAAATTATAAATATAAATTTTATAAAATTAGATTATTAAATATAAATTTATAAAAAAAAAACCTCAAATAATTTGTTTTAAAATCTTAAGTTAAAAAATCCTAACCATAATTATATACTTTAAGAAAAAATCCTTTATATAATAATATATTAAATTTTTAAAATTTTTTTTGTAAAGATCTATTCTACTACATGTTAAATATCACGTGATAAACGATTAATACTAGCTAAAAAATTTAAAAAATTTAAAATTCAGTTCAACAAAAATGATCACTTGTTTCCAACCAAATCTTCTTAAAAAACAAATCATTAAACAATGAATCAACAAAATCCATTAAAATCAACTAAAAAATTCAAGTCTTTACTAGAATCTAATACCAATATTGAAGAAAATAAGAGATCATAGGCTATTCTCATGTGAAGGGCTCAATATACAATAAAATTCACATATCTTGTTATTGATTTCTCAAAGCAATTTTTTACTGAAAGATATTAACAGTAACAATCAGTTAGGAACAGAGATTATATAATAATATTAATAGTGTGCAGAACTCAAATTTAAATACTCACAGTCCATTTTAAAATTGACTCGTAAAAAAAAATAAATTCTTCCATTCCGAGAAATCTCTTGGAATTGTGGCGTTGTCGATTTCTTTGATATAATAATAACCTATCCATAATACAATATAAATCTTTGTTTCACAACATAACAATTTGCTATAATGAAAATCAAAAAGATACCTACCGGTAAAACCAAGAGCATACAAATGTATGTTAAGTTCTATGCTAACAACACCAAAAACTTCCATATTCGGTATTATCAATTCCCTCTTCTCCATCCGATCTTAAAAGTAACATGTTCTTGATTATTTTAATACTATCATCAAGTTCTTTCTTTGCTTTAACTTTATAAGGACGTGAATCATCAACGAAAACTAGCTGATTTGTTGGAGTCGATCGTAAACCAACGTTATCTCACTTTTGACGGTTGATATTATTTATTGATGGAATTTCGCCGCTAATTACGTATAGCAAAATAAATGAAATGATATTTTGATCCATTAACATAATATTTAAAGAAAAATAACTTACGAAGTATAATAGATGTCAGCACAACTCCATAAAGCTGACTTTATACACGCGTGTATTAGTCATTGAGATGAGGCATTTCTAGAGCTTCTATATTATGAAGTGGATTCATATATTCCATGTAAACTAATTAATAAAAATTTGAACGTGACACTGTAAATACAAGTTACCAAATGATTTAGTATCTTTAATTAAGTGGATAACTTATTGTCGAGAAAAAATTTTTAATATTAATAAAATAACAAAATCGAAGATGAATAAAAACCTACAATACGCGATCCGCTTCACGTTTGTCGTCAACCAAACCAAGATTCCACCTTGATCTCCAAATTCATACATATATATGAACATCCATCATCAAACCAACAGCAGAAAAGGTTTCTACGTTCAGTAAAGCTATGCAAGTGTAAAGCGCAACCCTTCCGTATCGTTCTGTAATAACATTAAAATATTATTAATCAAAGCGAGATTTGCTGTGATTAATCCAATATTATTATTCACCTTGTTTGCATCATATTTATTGCCATCTTAATTAACTTTTAGTCGTTCAAAAAATTCCAAATAGATCCTAGAAAAAAAAATTTTTTTGTTAAAAAAAAAAAATCTCGACAATAAAATATATAAAACAAATATTTTTTTCACCTGCCATCTTTAAATGTAATGTTAGATTTCAATTTTTTTTATTATTACCCATAAAACTTCATTAACGTTACCAACAATGTTTGCCAAAGCAATCTCTCGGATGCCTTGCATTTTTTTCAAAATCAACATCATCTCGATTGGCGTTTTCCAATATAATGAATAATAAGTTCTATTTGAATACGATTCCATACAAGACAGTGAAGGCCTATAAATAAAAGAGAAGTTAAAAAATTATATCTTTTTCTTATAAAAAAGAATTTCCGAATTATAAAAAATATATATATATATATATATTAAAGCGAACCTCTCGAGCTATTTGACACGTTTGGTGGAAATTGGGCTTCTGTAAAATGTTCGACGTTGACTGAAACATAAAGACGAAAACTTACGTAATCTCTATAATCTTTATTAAATTAGGGATAAACGTAAATAAAAAAAACCCCCCATAATACCCGAAATGATCAAAATATATAAAAGTTTTAATGAAAGTAAAACCTCAGCAACAACCATAAATTTTTTCAAAACAGCGAATCCAAAGATCTTTTTTATTTTTTTAAAAAAGTCCGTGAAGATATTTTTTGAATTGCTATCCTTCCTTAACACGATACGACTCTAAAAGATAAGATTTGGGTTTTTATCACGAGCCCACGAACGTGTTCCAACATATATAACGAGCATATCCCGAGTTTCAACATTATTCCGAGTTTAAAATGCCTGTAAGGATAACATTAAGAAAATTTAAAAGTAAAACTGTAAATGACCAATTTAAATCAAAAGTATTCGATTTATATTATTTACCTTTTTAATTACAATAAACTTTCTCATTATTATAATCTTTTCTTAAACTATACGAATTAGATCTTTTTTCCTAAAACCAATACCTCCGGCTCTTCCAGCCTCCACGGCCAAAAAAGATATGAGGAGGTTCATAACATCTAAATTGACTGCCAAATAGAGGTGATGTGGTGGGACAGTCCCAGCTGGGATGTCCCAGGTGCAAATATATCGTTCTTATACGATCACGTGCTATTTTCTTATACGATCAAATTATGCAACAATATGCAGGCTATTTTCTTGTACGATCAGATATGCGTCTTTTTTAACAAAAAAATTTCAAAACTCGTGAAGTGATATTTTACTAAAAGCGCGTTTAATCACTTTTATATTTTTTTATTTTAATTTTTCTTTGTTCAAACAAAACTTTATCACCTTTATATTTTTTTGTTTTAATTCAAATAGAAACTTGTGTTATCACTTTATATTTTGTTTTAAATTTTTATGATTTTATTTTAAATTTCATATATTTTATAATAAAAAAAATCTTATTTTCAAATTTTATTATGGAAGGGTTTGAAAATTTAATTCAATATAATGATGATGATACTGTAAATGTACCTTTTGGTCATGTTGCTGAATGGTATATTATAAATCATCCATTATTAAAAAATATTCGCTTAAAATATTAAACGCGAAGAGAAACTGCAAAGTTAATTAAAGCAGATATTATTGATGTAAGTCGAGTAGAAAATGCTGTTGATTTTATTGAATGGAACACAAAAAAAGGTGATACAAAATCAACAATTAGAATCGATGATATTATTAAATTAATTTTGAAAGGTGAAGAATATGTTAAACAAATAGAGACAAAAGAAAAAAAGGATAAATTATGTTGGTCTTGGATTATGTTTTGTTCAGGAGAAGGAAATTATGAACGTGAATGTAGGGAAATTGGTAGTTGTAAAGAAGCATGTACAAATTATTCTCTTCAATATAATTTAAAAAATTATTTTGATATGCATTTGTGCAAAGTTTGTGTAATTTCTGAATCAAGACTTTCCTGATTAAATAAAGAAAAACCCCTTAAAATCAAAATTGTTGGATCACATCTACTAACAAATGTTCTTATATCACACAATCCAAGTGTTTCAAGATTGAATTTATTACGACAAGTTAGAGATTAAATCGTAGATCAGATCATTGTAAAGCCAATTCTGTTAAATTAAAATTATTAATGCCTTTTAATAGAACAGAAGAAAATAAATTAAAGGAAGCATTAAAAAATCAACATCAAATATGTAATAATAATAAACTTAGATCTTACTTAATGCATAATGATCGAAGATTAGGAGAAAATTCAGGTCTGTGAACTATATTACATTATTTGGTTATAGAAGTTTTAAAACCAAAAGGATATATTTTATATTATTAATAACCTGATCCTTTACAACCTGAAGAGGAAAAACAATTTTATTAACTTACTTTATCTAATGAATTCTGGCTAAGATATGGCAAAAAATTTGGTTAAAATTGTATTGAAATGGATTTAAAACATGATTTAAATAATGAAAAAACTTCAGTATTGGTATTTGTTACTGAAAATAACAGTAATTCTGGAATATCACTTACTTTTGGTAAGAAAATTATTGAAAATTCAAAAAAATTAGAATATTTGTTTATATTTTGTTAAAAATAAAAAAAAATTGAAATAATTTAATGAATTAAAATATATATTTATTTAATGAGCAAATTAAAGAAGCAATTTAATAAATTAAAAATATATAATAATAATAAATATATTTATTTATTATTTTAGGAATAAGTAATAAAGAAAACTAATAGATAATAAAATTATCAATAGTAGCGATAAAAACAAACATTTCATGTGATCAAGATAATTGTAAATATAAATAATTTGCCAAATAGTAAAGGATTTAAAAGAATAAGAGAATGCAATTCTTTTAATTAGAATCCTTTAGTTATGATAAATAAGCATAGGTTGTCAAAAATTGCTGTAAATAATAATTTATGTGAAATTATATTATATTAGTTCTATATAATGCATATAATTGGAAAAAATTTTAATCATTAGAATATTTCATAACTATTATGGTAAATATATATAAAAATTTTGCTTTAAATTTTTTTTATTTAATATTGTTTTTACTTTATAAATTCAAAATTAACTAATTAAATTTAAATTTTATAATTAGGTATCTTTTAATATTAGCTTTTAAAATAATTAGACGAAGTAGAATTGAAAATGAATCTAAAGAACTTGATTTACTTTATGAGGATTTTGTTAATTTACTAGAATTATCAGATAATATCAAACAAAAATTAATAATTGATTTAAATTGAAATTGGTTATGTGATGAATAGCGATTATCTTTTATTGATGCTGAATGCATTTTACAGAATTTTGAATGCATTATAACTACAAATAACTTTACAGAATGATTAAATTGAATAATAGAAATAAATTATAATAAAGTTCAAATTATTGTAAATTTTGTAAAACGTTTATATAAAGTAAAATTAAAAAAAGAAAATATAATTAAAAATAGTAGACAATTTCAATTTGAAGTAGGATTAGCAACATCATTTGATATGAAGTTAATTGAAGAAGCAAGTATTATTATTGTTTTTTTTGTTTTTTAAATGTTTAAACTTATAGAATAAATATATAATATTAATAAGAAAAATTGTTTAAAAAAATTATTATCTAATAAACTTCAAAGACTTAATTATAGAAGACTTTATTTTTTACTGAAATTTGTTGAATCTTTAAATTATGATGATTATTTTTTATGTTTGAAAGTTTGATAATATTCAAATAATAGATTCATCATTTGATAGTAAATCCATCAATTTAAGTGAAAAAATAACAAATAATTTATAACCTTTATTAAAAAAAATTAAACAAAAACATCTGAATAAGATTTCACACTGAGAAAAATATTATATAACAAATATTTTAACAAGTGAATGCATTTATTATGATTATATTTGAAAAGAACCATTTTAAGATATTTATAAATATATTCATACAACACATCTTTTTCATGATGCTAATCTACATTCAGATAAGAAATTATTTTCTAAACAAATAAAAGAAGATCTTATTACTTATTTTAAAAAATAAAGAAAAAGTAATTCCTGCTGAAAATAAAAATAGATTAATATATGAAGTAGATACTGATATAGCATATAATAAAATAATCAGATTCTATTATTTACAAGGTAAAGAATTTTTTTTATTTTAATTTATATTTTATTTTAATGATTATATTATATTTATTAAAAATTTGGAAGAATCAGTATTTTCGTCAAAAGATAATATTTCTGAATGTAATTCAGATCCTTTTAGATTACCAAAATTGAAACATAAAATTAATAAAATAGCATCACTAAAAGTTGTGACAAAATTACATAAATCATCACAGATTCTTCAAACCCTTTAATCAAATTCTTAAAATGAAACTAATTCTTTTGCTTTAGAAAAAAAATACTAAAAAAGCAAGAAAAAATCTCTGAAATATAAAAGTATATTCCAATTATTTATTTTACAGTAATTTATTATTTATATAATAAATTTTATTTTATTTAGAAATAAACCAAAGAAAAAATTACTTATAATTCTACAAAAACTTAACCTTATCATGATACAAGCAATTTAATTCATAATGAAAACTCTAATATTGTATCTATTTATTTAAATATAAATTAATATGAATTATATTTTTTCACTAATATTTCATAACCCTTATATGATTCACATATTTTTTCTCCTAATAGCTTTTCTTATATTTCTCCTTCTATTAATACTTTGCAGTCTTTATATATTCCTCCTAATAGCAATCAATCCTTATATAATCCTTATATATATCAGCTACAAATCTATTACTAACTATGAATCTATTCTTTAGACTCATTACCTACAGATTTACAATTATCTGAGTCACTTAATATGTTAAATTCACTTTTTTTTTTACAATAATTCACATACTTAATTTTTAATATGTTTCGTTTACATTACAAATTTATTTAAATAAATCATAATTTTTTGTTTTTCTTAATAATAAATAATTTTTTCCTATAAAAAATCTAATGCTAATTAGTTAATTATTCAAAGTAAGATGAAATAAAATAAATAAATATATAAAGGTGATAAAGTTTTGTTTGAATAAAGAAAAATTAAAATAAAAAAAATATAAAGTGATTAAACACACTTTAGTAAAATATTACTTCACGAGTTTTAAATTTTTTTTGTTAAAAAAGATGCATATCTGATTATATAAGAAAATAATAGTATCTGATAGTCCAAGAAAGAT